CAGTGTGGAAGAGCTCCACAAGATGGGTAACCACCCTGTACGTAGGATCTTTATCCACCCAGATTACAGCCCTAAAGATGAATACAACTTCAACGGGGACATAGCCCTGCTGGAGCTGAAACACCCCGTAACCTTGGGCCCTACCCTACTGCCCATCTGTCTCCCAGATACCACCAACACCACGTTCTATGTGGATGGGCATATGGGCTACGTGAGCGGCTTTGGTGTGGATAAAAACATCATCTCAAATGATTTGAAGTACGTGAGCCTACCAGCAGTTGCTCGAGATAAGTGTCAGAGTTGGCTGGACAGTAAGAAAGACATCCCTATGGTTTTCTCTGAGAATATGTTCTGTGCTGGCTTCCCCAGGGGCAAACAGGATACCTGCCAGGGGGATAGTGGGAGTGTCTTCACAGTGTTAGACAGGGAAAGTGGTCGTTGGGTGGCTACCGGCATAGTTTCTTGGGGTATTGGCTGTGCCCAAGGTTATGGCTTCTACACCAAGATCCTTAGCTACTTGGACTGGATCAAAGGGATAGTAGAGGAGGACAAGCTCTAGATGATGCTGTCCTACTAGCTGAGGGATCACTGCTAGCATACCAATTTCCAGATACAGCAAATCATATCCAAAGCTTCTGATGATGTCCCAAAGGCTTTTCAAACAGGCAAACCATGTAACCTTCATCATAAGCACTTCTGAAAGCCATCATACTGTTTGATGAATTCTTGGTGGTACCATCAAAACTTACCAAAACTGCAGTACCATTGGCAGCTTGTGGGATGCCTTTGTGGATGTTCTAGTTCTTCCAAATCTTATTACTGGATGAAGCCTTAATAAAATCAGGAAATTTCAGGACAGCAAACATGTTATTGTTTGAAATGCTGACAATATCATGAGACTATTGTGGTCTACTTTTGTACTCTATTGTGTGGGAAGATTGCAGGGCAGAAGACTTTCCTGAAAGATGTGGTTTGTGCTGAGTACAGTGTGTGTTTGCCCATTGGCATCACTGAGATTCTATAAATATTAAAATAATTGCTGGAGAAACCAGGTGTGTTATGGTTTTCTGTCTTTGTTTTTAATGATGACTGAATATTCCCACCACTGAAAGCAACTTCTGGACTTTATACGGGGATTGCTTTACCTGCCGCTAAAGTGTTTCCAGTTCCACAATGCCCTGTAGCAGCTGCTCACCTGTCAAAAAATACTGTTAGATTACCCAATCTGAAACCCCAGGTGGCTTCAAGGGAGATGAAAAGAAGTTGTCTGTGTGATGCCACATTCAAAAAGATAGGGAAGACAAGAACCAATCTCATGGAGAAAAGAGCCTAGGAGTCTTCACTGACCAAGATTTGAGGGTGGATTTTTTTTTATATAATATGAAATAAAGCTTTAACTGCAGGACAGCAGCTCTAAAATGATGCTAACTCAAAGAGAAGGTGACCTCTCTTGTGTTGTGGATATTCTCTGGAGTTGTCTTCTTGTCTACTTTCGCTTCTGCAGAATAACCTACCATTTTCTTGTGAGTCACTGAGAGAAATGAAGTCTGCAAGAGCTTGACAGGAGAACTCTGGGGGTAAGGTCATAGTTGCCTTCTTGCACTGTTTTATGGGAGATCGAGCTCCAGATCCTCTCAGATGTCAGTATATCTCATTTGCTTTAGAGATAATATGCCATAGGAAATGATCTGTGAAAGTGCACAGGTGATAGAAGTTCATCCATGATTTCTATGAATCAGAATTCTGTTGTTTTTTCCCATCTGTATGGAAAAGGGAGCATGAGAGGCAATAAGAGCAGGGAAAAATAAGGTTTTACAGGACCAAGAGATAAACCCTGGTTTGGGAGAGGGA